GTTTTACACACACTCTCTTTTACACACTCACTCTCTCTATTTTACACACTCTCTCTCCCCATCTCTCTCTCTCGCTCTTACACACACTCTCTCTCTCTCTCCCTATCTCTCTCTCCCCATCTCTCGCTCTCTTTTTCTCAACTGGTAATTGAATCGCACCTCCCATTCACCATTCAAGTGCAGGCAACATGCTATCAGCGTGTCACCCACCATTTTACAATGTAAACTGGATGCTGTATGCATTTGTCATAAAAGTGTGCATGCATGAAAGAGCATTATAACTCTGCCTGAAAAAACGCCCATCATTCACCGCTCTCATCAGGTGCGCTGTTTAGAAAGGTGTTTTCCTGCGAATTGCATTTTGGCAAATTATTGAAAATGATGTTTTATTGACTACTTCATTACAGGAGTTCTGTTAAGATGGATTAAAATAATCTAAATGTGATTTCTGTCATTCTGAGCACCGTGGGTGGATGCCCTAATGGGTTATGCACCCAATACATATGTGTCTGGTAATGTTTCTCAAATGGCCGGTAAAGTGAAATCTTCACGGTCACGTTGTCCGCCGGCAAATTTTCCTAACGAACCCCCCCCCCACACACACACACACCCTCTTGTCAGCTCCACCCCCTTCCACCACATCGTGTACATCCCCTGTCTATCTTTTAGTCAGTGCACCCCCATAGGAATCCAATCCAAGCTGAAATATGTAAAGGGAAAACACAGCATTATCTTGTTAATGGTGCTCTCCCATTATGCCTCACAGCACAATAACCAGTAAATAAATAAGAGAATACAAATCCTCAAATCCTCGGTTCTCTAATTAGCAGCAGTAGCCGGGGATAAAACAATTAAAAGGGTGGGGGAAAAAGCGCTAGAGAGACAGAAAGAGAGAGAGCCCCTGCAGCGAACAATCATCCTCAAGAGGAGTAGAATCTTCAGTAGTTCAGATGCTCATCTACTATTCTGCTTGTCTGAGGGGGTATGAAAAACAATCTGCCCAAATCCAGCGGACAAAAGTCATAGCAGCACAGAGACACTTGAGACAAATGGCTACAGTGACTTTAATCATTCTCCAGAACTGTTACTGTATTTCTATAAACAATGTGTTGGCGTGTGGCATCACACATGAAACTATGTAATAAGCAGGTTGCACTGCATTAAAAATGAGCCACCTGCCACGTGGGGCTTTCAGCAGTTTGATCCTAGAATGCACTCTCCTGCTTCACAGTCCTCCAAACCGTATCAGGAAAGAAGGGCTGAATATTGACAGCTAATGATGCTTATTGCACTGTGTGTACTGTTACAACATGTAGTCAAAAACCCACACCATTGGTTGTGTAGATCCAGCTATACTGTACAGTGGGGGGAAAAAGGACGACACCATGTTTCCAGTAGGATTATGATGTCCTGTCCCTTGATGTTTTTAATCAATTCTGGATTTGTTGTTTTATAACCAAAATAGAGTACAGGCCCTGGATATTCCAAGAGCTGATAGTTAATGATCTCATTTATAATAAGTGATATTCACTGGTTTGAGTAAAGTACATTGAGAAAAAAAATAGATAATAATAATAGTTATATACAGTGGGGGAAAAAAGTATTTAGTCAGCCATCAATTGTGCAAGTTCTCCCACTTAAAACGATGAGAGAGGCCTGTAATTTTCATCATAGGTACACGTCAACTATGACAGACAAATTGAGAAAAAGAAATCCAGAAAATCACATTGTAGGATTTTTAATGAATTTATTTGCAAATTATGGTGGAAAATAAGTATTTGGTCAATAACAAAAGTTAGTGTTTTACTGATGGCAGGCTTTGTTACTTTGGTCCCAGCTCTCTGCAGGTCATTCCCTAGGTCCCCCCGTGTGGTTCTGGGATTTTTGCTCACCATTCTTGTGATCATTTTGACCCCACGGGGTGAGATCTTGCGTGGAGCCCCAGATCGAGGGAGATTATCAGTGATCTTGTATGTCTTCCATTTCCTAATAATTGCTCCCACAGTTGATTTCTTCAAACCAAGCTGCTTACCTATTGCAGATTCAGTCTTCCCAGCCTGGTGCAGGTCTACAATTTTGTTTCTGGTGTCCTTTGACAGCTCTTTGGTCTTGGCCATAGTGGAGTTTGGAGTGTGACTGTTTGAGGTTGTGGACAGGTGTCTTTTATACTGATAACAAGTTCAAACAGGTGCCATTAATACAGGTAACGAGTGGAGGACAGAGGAGCCTCTTAAAGAAGAAGTTACAGGTCTGTGAGAGCCAGAAATCTTGCTTGTTTGTAGGTGACCAAATACTTATTTTCCACCATAATTTGCTAATAAATTCATAAAAAATCCTACAATGTGATTTTCTGGATTTTTTTTCTCTCAATTTGTCTGTCATAGTTGACGTGTACCTATGATGAAAATTACAGGCCTCTCATCTTTTTAAGTGGGAGAACTCGCACAATTGGTGGCTGACTAAATACTTTTTTCCCCACTGTATGTCTCAAACACAAATGAATGGAAAAGATACAGTGCATTCAGAAAGTATTCATATCCCTTGACTTGTTCCACATTTTGTTGTTACAGCCTGAATTCAAAATTGATTAAGTATTTTTTTTTTTCTTCACCCATCTAAACTCAAAACCCATAATGACAAAGTGAAAACATGTTTATAGAAATGTTTGCACATTTATTGAAAATAAAATACGGAAATATATCTATTTTCCGTAAGTATTCACACCCCTTTGCTATGACACTCCAATTTGAGCTCAGGTGCATCCAATTTCATTTGATCATCCTTGGGATGTCACTACAACTTGATTGGAGTCCACCTGTGGCCAATTCAATTGTTTGGACATGATTTAGAAAGAAACACACCTGTCTATAGAAGGTCCCACAGTTGACAGTGCATGTCAGAGTAGAAACTATAACATGAAGTCCAAGGAACTGTCCGTAGATCTCCGAGATAGAATTGTGATGAGGCATATATCTGGGGAATTTCTAGAGTGTTGGACGTTTACAAGAGAAAAGTGGTCTCCATCATTGAGAAATTGAAAAAATATGGAACTACCCAGACTCTGCCTAGAGCTGGCCATCTGACCAAACTGAGCAACCGGGCAAGAAGGACAGGTCAGGGAGGTGACCAAGAACCCAATGACCACTCTAACAGAACTACAGGGTTCCTTGGCTGAGATGGGAGAACCTGCCAGTAGGACAACAGTCTCTACAGCGCTTCACCAATCTGGGCTTTATGGGAGGGTGGCCAGATAGAAGCCATTCCTGAGAAAAAGGCCCATGACAGCATGCCTGGAGTTTGCAAAAAGGCACATGAAAGACCTGAGATCATAAGACAAAATATTCTGTGATCTGATGAGACAAAACTGTAACTCTTAGGCCTGAATGCAAAAAGCTAAGTTTGGAGAAAACCAGGCACAGCTCATCACCCGTCTAACACGATCCCTACCGTGAAGCATGATGGTGGCAGCATACTGCTATAGCGATGCTTTTCAGCTGCAGGGACTGGGAGACTGGTAAGGATAGAGGGAGCAATGAATGGAACCAAATACAGGCAAATCATTGATGAGAACCTGCTTCAGAGTGCAAATGACCTTAGACTAGGGCGAAGATTTACGTTCCAACAGGACAATGACCCCAAGCATACAGCCAAAGCAATACTGGAATAGCTTCAGAACAAGAATGTGAAAGTCCTTGAGTGGCCCAGCCAAAGCCCAGACTTGAATCCCAATGAAACTAACTTAACAGAGATCTACAAGGAACAGAAAATCTGCAAGGAAGAATGTGAGAAAATCCCCAAATCCAGATGTGCAAAGCTGATACAGACATACCCAAGACGACTCAACGTTGTAATCGCCGCCAAAGATGCTTTTACACAAAGTATTGACTCAGGGGTGTGAATACTTATGTAAATTAGATATTTCTGTATGAATTCAGGCTGTAACACAACATAATGTGGAATAAGTCAAGGGGTATGAATACTGATGGCACTGTAGGCACCGAATAAAATGAATATTTGAACGGGGTCTTACAGTATATTGATAACATTCTGCACGTTAACTATTGCATGTGTATAAAGAAAACGTTTCCACCTTACCTCTCCCTCTGAACTCCATTGAGCCCCCTGCCTTCCTCCTGCGTGACCTTTCCCAAATCAAAGGCAACCATGTCAGGAAATTTGACCGTCAAGGTTTATTTAACATCAGAGCAAATCCCTTTTTAGTTGTATGCGTGTCTCCTATGTTTTTATAGAAACCAGCTCAAACTGAAACTGTCAGGGACCCGGAAAATGTAGACAATGTCCTCGGTAACCAAATATCTCTATTGGCAGTGCTGAATGAAAGGTAAGTGTGCCTGTCAACAACGCTTGAGTTATTAGTACCAGACTTGACTGTGGACTGTGAAACAAGGGTTTATTGAATGTGGATCATTGGTTCCACTAAATAACAAGACCCACTACCCTGGAACGACTCTTTCAAATTTGGATTAAAGGTTTTCTGGAACTCTGCCGTATTCAGAGAGTGTTAAAACAAGGTTGTCTGTCCCCTCTCTCCACTCTAGAATGCTAATTGACCACATTTCTGAAACAAATTAATCAATAGAGTTACGATGTGAATTAGTTACTCAAGTAATTTCCATTAATACCAGTGACGAGTCAACGACGTCCAAAGCAGAAATAGAATTCTGAATACCCACGGTAAACAAAATCGAGCAACAAAACCTATTAGGCCGGAATACATTATTATATTATTACATTATTACAAAACACAATCACAGATGCACATTTCTCCTGATTGTTTTCCTTCTACTCAATTCCTCAAAGTGATCATGTAATCCCAAATATAATAATAATATAAATAAAGTACAGATGATTTTATTTTAATCATCTGTAATACGACTTTGTAAACATCTATCAGATTTTGTTTATGGGGCACGGGCAAAGTAACTCTTATTTGAGGAGCCAAGAGGCATCGTTGTGATTGGAGCGCTATGCAATCGCTAATGAGCACAGGTTTAATTAAAAAGTAAATACAAAGCTCAACAAAAGATGTATTTGCTTACAGCGTTTAGCGTTAGCCCAATAGACTTGTCCCAGGGTTTGCGTCTGACCCATTATCGCTAACCAGAGGCGAGGACTGCTAATACTCTCCCTCCTAACCCACTTGAGGTTGCTCGCTGAACGATTGCACAAGCAATGCTCAGCTTATGTTGTCTTCATTTAATATCGACTCTAAATTATGAAGCTGCCCATCGCTCCCGGCGGAGACACTTAGAGCATTAGGCCCCACCGTTAGAAAACATTTAGTGATAGCATAGCCCTTTCTCCTCAGAGAGGGGAAGGGAAATGGAAGACAGGAGGGGGCTGTGTAGGGCAGCTACAGCTCAGTGGGGGTGTATTAGGGCTCCAGAGGGACAAAGCAGACCTCACAATAAGCAATCACAGGCAATTTATGAAATAGCATCGTGCTACATAGGTAAGGACCCAGATTGAGAGAAGGAACCATCTAGATTTCCACACCAATTCAGTGTCTCAGAGGATATATAAATGTGCCAGCACCCAGTTTGGTGTGTAATGTACAGTATATGCATTAAGTGCTCGCTTTCAATGCACGCCAACTTTATGTCCTGTCTCCAATGGCAATGTGAATTCAGGGGCCACACACATTGAGCCAAAGCTCTCTTTCTCACTCCCTCCCCCCCTCTATCTCCCCTCTCGCTCTCTCTCTATCCCCCTCTCTCTATCCCCCCCTCTCTCTCTCTGTGGCCTTTTTCCAGGTATGATTTTGTGGAGATCGAGGAGCCATCTGAGAACACCATCCTGGGCCGCTGGTGCGGGTCCCAGGTACCCGCCAGCCACACATCCAAAGGCGGTCAGATCCGGGTGAGATTTATCTCAGATGAGTACTTCCCCTCCGAGCCCGGCTTCAGCATTCACTACTCCCTGCTCCCCATGGTAAGCCACCTTTCCTCTGAGCACACAAACAACACAAAAACACTCCCTTACGTAATTACCTATTATGTTGTTCTGTATGTGCAAACCTCTCTCGACGTATTTGTTTTGACCAGTGTTTATAGCTAAGTGCTGTTGTAATAGAAGTCGTGACTGTATGGACATTTGATGCACCTGTGATCCAATCAGACAAGGTTTTGATAAGAGGCAATGTGCTGGAGTGTTAATAGAGTTGGGTGAGCTTGAGATTGCGCTCAGCCCAGACGGTGTCTAGGCTCTCAGGCACAGCATAGCCTGCTGACTCTGGTTGGATTCATTCCACGTCTAATTATTCTCCTTCGACTGATGAAGAATGGCGCTACGCCCTCCGATTTAACCATCAAACAGGCAAAGCGTCAATACAGGACCCAAATCGAATCCTACTACACCAGCTCTGATGCTCGTCGGATGTGGCGAGGCTTGCAAACTAACACGGATTACAAAGGAAAACCCAGCCTCGAGCTGCCCAGTGACGCGAGCCTACCAGACGAGCTAAGTACCTTCTATGCTCGCTTCGAGGAAAAACAACACTGAACCATGCATGAGAGCACCAACTGTTCAGGACAACTATGTGATCACGCTCTCCGTAGACAATGTGAGCAAGACCTTTAAACAGGTTAACATTCACAAGACAGATTACCAGGATGCGTACTCCGAGCAGGAGCTGACCAGCTGGCAAATTGTCTTCACTGATATTTTCAACCTCTCCCTGACCCAGTCTGTAATACTACCGTAGTCACTGTGCCCAAGGAGGCCAAGGTAGCCTGTCTAAATTACTATCACTAAATAGCACTCACCTCTATAGCCATGAAATGCTTTGAAAGGCTGGTCATGGCTCACATCAACACCATCATCCCAGACACCCTGGACCCACTCCAATTTGCATACCGCCCCAACAGATCCACAGATGACACAATCTCTATTGCACTCCACACTGCTGTTCATTGACTACAGCTCAGCGTTCAACACCATAGTGCCCTCCAAGCTCATCACTAAGCTAAGGACCCTGGGATAAAACACCTCCCTCTGCAACTGGATCCTGGACTTCCTGACGGGCCGCCCCCAGGTGGTGAGGGTAGGCAACATCACATCCGCCACGCTGACCCTCAACATGGGGGTCCCTCAGGGGTGTGTGCTTAGGTCCCTCCTGTACTCCCTATTCACCCACAACTGCGTGGCCACGCACAACTCCAACTCCATAATTAAGTTTGGTGACGACAGTACGATGATGAGACAGCCTATAGGGAGGAGGACAGAGACATGGCAGTGTGGTGCTAGGAAAAACAAACCTCTCCCTCAGCGTCAGCAAGACAAAGGAGCTGATCGTTGACTACAGGAAACGGAGGGCCGAACAAGCCCCTATTCACATCGACAGGGCTTTAGTGGACCGGGTCGAGAGCTTCAAGTTCCTCTGTGTCCACATCACTAAGGATCTATCATGGTCCAAACACACCAACACAGTATGAAGAGGGCACGACAACAGATTTGGCATGGGCCTCAGATCCTCAAAAAGTTATACAGCTGCACCATTGAGAGCATCTTGACTGGCTGCATCACCGCTTGGTATAGAAACTGCTTGGCATCCGACCGCAAGGCGCTACAGAGGGAAGTGCGTACGGCCCAGTACATCACTGGGGCCGAGCTCCCTGCCATCCAGGACCTCTATACCATGCGGTTTCAGAGGAAGTCCTTCAAAATTGTCAAAGACTCCAGCCACCCAAGTCATAGACTGTTCTCTCTGCTACCGCACAGCAAGTGGTACTGGAGCACCAAGTCTGGGACCATAAGACTGCTGAACAGTTAATCAAATGGCTACAGGGACTATTTGCATTGAGCCCTTTATTATTTTATGTTAATTTATTTGCACTGACATTTTTTTTCTTTTCTTCTATATATATATATATATATATATATATTTTTTTTTTAGGGGGTAGATCAGCTTTAATATTGCAGATAGGTTGTAACTTCCATCAATGTAATTGTTTGCATCCCTTCCAATCCCCCATATGTTTTTTTTCTTCTCGCAAATAGATATATACTTACATTCTTGCACTTTTACTCTGCTTTGTTGGGAAAGGGCTTGTAAGTAAGCATTTCACAGTAAACTCTACACCTGTTGAATTCGGTGCATGTGACAAATACAATTTGATTTGATATAACAAATTGATTAAGAGATGGAAGAGGCCAACTATTAGCTCTGGGCTTGTGTCTGAAATAACAGGTTTTTACATGGCTCTCTCATTCTGTCTCTCTTTTTCTCAGTTTCTTCCATCCTTTCTCTCACGATTCAGTCAGGCTCTATTGGCAGGATGTGTGTGAATAGTCCCAATTTAGATCATGCAAGATCACATTACCCTGTCTGTCTGTTTACATCCTACACACACACAGGCATCCTATTCGCCTCTCCTCTTTCTCTCTCTAAACCCTCTCTCACCTTTTTACCCTTTCCTGACCCCCCCCCCTCTCTCCCCTTCTCCCCAACCTCCCCCTCCCCTCCTTCTCTCTCCTTCTCTCTCCTCATCCCAGACCACACACATAGAGGCCCCTTCATACCCACACATTTCACTTACAAAGACCCAGAGATAAACTGAAGTGAAGACTGCCATGTTTTAACCTGTCATGTTGCAGTTGTGTGCGCCTCACTCTAAGTAAACAGCTCTTCCCTTCATTAATCCGTAATGGCCTGCAGCACAGAGAAATCATTTATGTTCCTGACAAGCACAAATGGGAAAAGGAGGTCAGCGACGGTGCTTCTTTATGTCTGTTTTACCTTTTCCCTTTTTTCGGAGAACGAGACAGTTTATTTTTTATTTCATTCGCTTTCGCAGTTTTCTTTTGGTTTATAATTACCACATTCTTTCACTTGGTTATATTGACTCTGCTCTCTTTGGTAGATGAGCTGACACTTCCATGTGTTTCTTTATACAAATGCATTTACTGTACTTTCTGACTCTTTTCAGGTTTCTGATACTTTTTCAGAATCTCAATACAGCTGCCTAACATGTTGTCCTTCTTCTATTAATGTGAGCCATGACTCTCTTTTCACCCAAAATTCTACTTAAAATGTGCCATATACTTTCATACCATAAAGGTGATCTAATGTGGAGCTGAGTCCTTATTCTACACCGTATAGTGTATACAACCAGCTTTATTCATTAGATGAAATCTGCAGGCCTCAATGCTAAACTGAAGGGACCCACCCACACATACATACACATAAACAAAGGCCTGACCTGACCTTAATACTAAGTGCCTTTCATGCAATTTGCCCTAAACATTATAATAATTGACATTCATTTGGTTGTGTAATTACTTGTAACCCATTTTCTGCAGTAGGAGACAGCACAGAGGAAGCAGTTTGTGTTCATTAAGCTTTAATGATATCTGTCAAGACTAATAGTATGCTGGGCCGATCATAGTTAACCCTACGTTTGCACATACGCTCTTAGAAAAAAGGGTTCCAAAAGGGTTATTCGGCTGTCACCATAAGAGAGTCCTTTTTTGTTCAAGGATGAACCCTTTTAGGTTCTAGATAGCACCTTTTTTCCCAAGAGTGTAGAGGCCTGTGTGAATGTGACTAAAACTGATGTCACCAACTTCAGCCATGTTCCAGTTTAAAGGTGATCCATTTGGATTGTTCAATGACCCAAAGTGTCATTAGATTATAACTTTTCAGAAGTCATGCAGATCTAGACAAAAAACATCCTATCCAGTGACTTGAGACCCTTTGCTAGCCATGCTCCCTCCCTTGACCAAATATCAAATCAAATCAAATCAAATTGTATTTGCCACATGCGCCAAATACAACAGGTGTAGACATTAGTGAAATGCTTACTTACAAGCCCTTAACCAACAATGCAGTTTTTAAGAAAATACAAAAGTAAAGAGCAGCAGTAAAATAAAATAACAGTAGGGAGGCTATATACAGGCGGTACCGGTACAGAGTCAATGTGCGGGGGAACCGGTTAGTCGAGCTAATTGAGATAATATGTACATGTGGGTAGAGTTAAAGTGACTATGCATAAATAATAATCAGAGTAGCAGCAGCATAAAAGAGGGGGTTGGGGTTGGGGGCAATGCAAATAGTCCGGGTAGCCATGATTAGCTGTTCAGGAGTCTTATGGCTTGGGGGTAGAAGCTGTTAAGAAGCCTTTTGGACCTAGACTTGGCGCTCCGGTACCGCTTGCCGTGCGGTAGCAGAGAGAACATTCTATGACTAGGGTGGCTGGAGTCTTTGATAATTGTTAGGGCCTTCCTCTGACACCGCCTGGTCCTGGATGGCGGGAAGCTTGGCCCCAGTGATGTACTGGGCCGTACGCACTACCCTCTGTAGTGCCTTGCGGTCGGAGGCCGAGCAGTTGCCATACCAGGCGGTGATGCAACCAGTCAGGATGCTCTTGATTGGTGCAGCTGTAGAACTTTTTGAGGATCTGAGGACCCATGCCAAATCTTTTCAGTCTCCTGAGGGGGAATAGGCTTTGTCGTGCCCTCTTCACGACTGTCTTGGTGTGTTTGGACCATGATAGTTTGTTGATGATGTGGACACCAAGGAACTTGAAGCTCTCAACCTGTTCCACTACAGCCCCATCGACGAGAATGGGGGCGTGCTCAGTCCTCTTTTTTTTCCTGTAGTCCACAATCATCTCCTTTGTCTTGATCACATTGAGGGAGAGGTTGTTATCCTGGCACCACACGGCCAGGTCTCTGACCTCCTCCCAATAGGCTGTCTCATCGTTGTCTGTGATCAGGCCTACCACTGTTGTGTCGTCGGCAAACTTAATGATGGTGTTGGAGTCGTGCCTGGCCATGCAGTCATGTGTGAACAGGGAGTACAGGGGGGGACTGAGCACGCACCCCTGAGGGGCCCCCGTGTTGAGGTTCAGCGTGGGAAAGGGCAGTGTGGAGTGCAATAGAGATTTGCATCATCTATGGATCTGTTGGGGCGGTATGCAAATTTGAGTGGGTCTAGGGTTTCTGGGATAATGGTGTTGATGTGAGCCATGACCAGCCTTTCAAATCACTTCATGGCTACAGACGTGAGTGCTATGGGTCGGTAGTAATTTAGGCAGGTTATCTTAGTGTTCTTGGGCACAGGGACTATGGTAGTCTGCTTTAAACATGTTGGTATTACAGACTCAGTCAGGGACATGTTGAAAATGTCAGTGAAGACACTTGCCAGTTGGTCAGCGAATGCTCGGAGTACACGTCCTGGTAATCCGTCTGGCCCTGCGGCCTTGTGAATGTTGACCTGCTTAAAAGTCTTACTCACATGGGCTATGGAGAGTGTGATCACATAGTCATCCAGAACAGCTGATGCTCTCATGCATGCTTCAGTGTTGCTTGCCTCGAAGCGAGCATAGAAGTGATTTAGCTCGTCTGGTAGGCTTGTGTCACTGGGCAGCTCATGGCTGTGCTTCCCTTTTGTAGTCTGTAATCGTTTTCAAGGCCTGCGACATCCGACGGGTGTCGGAGCCGGTGTACTACAATTCAATCTTAGTCCTGTGTTGACTCTTTGCCTGTTTGATGGTTCGTCGGAGGGCATAGTGGGATTTCTTATAAGCGTCCGGGTTAGAGTCCCGCTCCTTGAAAGCGGCAGCTCTACCCTTTAGCTCAGTGCAGATTTTGCCTGTAATCCATGGTTTCTGGTGGGGTATGTACGTACTGTCACTGTGGGGACGATGTCAACGATACACTTATTGATGAAGCCAGTGAATGATGTGGTGTACTCCTCAATGATATCGGAAGAATCCCGGAACATATTCCAGTCTGTGCTAGCAAAACAGTCCTGTAGCTTAGCATCTGCGTCATCTGACCACTTCCTTATTAACCGAGTCACTGGTGCTTCCTGCTTTAGTTTGTGCTTATAAGCAGGAATCAGGAGGATAGAGTTATGGTCAGATTTGCCAAATGGAGGGCGAGGGAGAGCTTTGTACGCGTCTCTGTGTGTGGAGTAAAGGTGGTCTAGAGTTTTTTTTCCCTCTGGTTGCACATTTAACATGCTGCTAGAAATTAGGTAGAACGGATTTAAGTTTCCCTGCATTAAAGTCCCCGGCCACTAGGAGCGCTGCCTCTGGATGAGTGTTTTCCTGTTTACTTATGGCCTTATACAGCTCATTGAGTGCAATCTTAGTGCCAGCATCAGTTTGTGGTGGTAAATAGACAGCTACGAAAAATATAGATGAAAACTATTTTGGTAAATAGTATGGTCTACAGCTTATCATGAGATACTCTACCTCAGGCGAGCAAAACCTTGAGACTTCCTTTGTATTAGATTTTATGCACCAGCTGTTGTTTACAAATATACACAGACCGCCACCCTTTGTCTTACCGGAGTCAGCCGTTCTATCCTGCCGATGTAGCGTATATCCCGCCAGCTGTATTTTGTCCATGTCGTCGTTCAGCCACGACTCGGTGAAACATAAGATATTACAGTTTTTAATGGCCCGTTGGTAGGATAACCTTAATCTGATTGAACATTGGCTAATAGGATTGATGGAAGAGGATCCTTACAAGGCACGCCGACCTATGTCCACGATATCTCTGTCTCTTTCTCATGCGAATGACGGGGATTTAGGCCTTGTCGGGTGTCTGTAGGATATCCTTTGCGTCCCACTCGTTAAAGAAAAAATCTTAGTCCAATACGAGGTGAGTAATCGCTGTCCTGATATCCAGAAGCTCTTTTTGGTCATTAGAGACGGTGGCAGAAACATTATGTATAGAATAAATTACAAATAACGCAAAAAAACACACATAATAGTACAATTGGTTAGCGGGCTGTAAAACGGCAGCCATCTTCTCCGGCGCCATTCATCAAATATGTTTTCCTATCACTGAGTACGGTTACATGCACTCAATAATGTGATTATTGTAGATAGTCACATTAATATAATAGTTTGATTAAAACGTTTACATGCTTTGCAAGAAGAACGATTTCCCTAATCCTGTTTACATGGACACATCTGAAATCAGGCTACCTGATGGCACTCTGATAAATGCAGAAAATCGGCAATCAAAATAAACGTTCTACCACAGTGAACATGTTATTTCGGACATATAAAGTTTGTATGTTAAAACTACTTCTAAGAAGCATACATTCAGTTGTTCCTAACACACTTCACTCGCGCTAAAGAAGGAGACTCGCTCAGCTGGTACTAGCACACGTGCAGATCAAATATACTGCTGGAACGCTGATTTAAGGTTTTTACATGTCCTAATAATTTGAAAGATCGCTCAGAAAACCATGTGTTTTAATCGGTGTATGCTTACTTCGATTTGACCTTCGATTAAGATAAGCAGAGTAAGGTGACCTTTACATGACTATTGCCATACTCGGCCTACTGTCATATTCAGTTTAATATCGAATTATTATTGTGCATGTGAACATACTCAATGCCTTGGAGAACATTATGATCCCTCGTATCATAAATCTCACAAGGTTTTTTTGAGAGTGGACCTTTGATGATACTACGTAATTTTGGGCGTTGAAAAACGTTTGTGGCATTGACAAGTGGCTGTGTGCTGCGGTGCTTTCCGTTCCAATATCCCATCTCACTTTACACGTCAATGATTACTGGAAGGTAATTTCTGATGCATATCCTCCAGAAATGATTTAATAGGTATGTTTCTCTTTGATGTGTGATACCCTGCTCAGAACATTATTTATTTCCTCGAGGTGTTTACTAAAGCATTTGTGTATGCCCGGACCTTTCAATCTCTGCTAAATGAGTTTCATTGTCTCCCGTGGAACAAAGGTATTGTTCGTCTTTTTCAGTTCATGCTAAAAAGAACGAGAAGCTTTGGTGTTTAATCATCCTGCCATATAGCACCATGTTGTCTGAAAGACAAGATGGGACTTGATTTTTGTATCGTTTCTCTCCTTTATCTTCAAGACGAATATCAGGAGAGATACTTATAAAGCAGATAGATTTACAGAGAATAAGGACTTTACTGATTTGAAAGCACCTTTTTACAGAACAATGTCCCCAGTGACTCCTGTCAATCCATAGAGAATAGATCCTCCACCAAATCCACGGCCCATCAACTTGCTTTGCTTAGTCTCCCATCCAAGCACTGCACAACTTCTAAGATGGGGAATGAATACATTTATTTATGTATGTGAAAGTCATGAGGGTACAAAAGATGAGGAGAGCTTACTTCTACTCTAGTTTTATTCACAAACCACAGATCATCTGAACGTTAACCTACAGTGAATCAAACAAGGATCTGAGATCTAGTATTTTATTAGCTAAAGCAGCAGCCACTCTTCTGAACCCTAGGTTAACTTTGCTGTAGTGTTCATCAATCCTAATTAGAATGAGTAAATACGAATTACCTTATTAAATACCTTAAACCATTTACTACACTGGCACTCCAAACCTCTGAATCCATAACCTTGTAAGAATCCAGTTTGCTGTAGGATTTTTGCCTCTTAAACAGTGATTCCCAAAAGCAATGTTGATCTCTCCTAAGGTCTACAATTTGTCCATTTGTTTTTGCTCTGTGGTAGAACTGTTCTGTTATTCTAGTGGAAGGGAAGCTTAGTCTCCTGGCGTACAGTGCACATCAAGAGGTGTGGCTGGATCGTGAGGGGCTACTTATAATGTCCAATAGGGGGAGAGTATTGGAACCTACAATTCTGCCACCATGCTGTTTTCACTGTTGCTTTCTGTTGTTGATGATTTGGGGATCTGTGGTAGTACATCATAAGTGCTGTAGACTGTGATGAAGCCGTTTAGATAGGATACAGATCTCTGTAATGCATCCTCTGGCTGACAGAAAAAAACATATCTTCAGGGTGCAACTGCTGAGTGTGGAGGTTTTTCAGGTGATTGTTTGGGATTTGAATTCTTTACACTAGACTGGGATTGAATCAACTGCAGATTTCTGGGAAGCACTTTCAGATTTGCATTTGTTTGAACAGCAGCTTGGGATAGAGGGTGTTAACACTTGGTTTATAAACTGAATATATAGTAGGAAGATATGTACAGCGTGCCGGACAGATACATATGTAATGTAAATTGAACCTGCATGCATACATACAATGCCTTCAGAAAGTATTCACACCCCTTGACTTGTGGCAAAGCAATTAACTTTTTGTCCTGGATACAAAGTGTTATGTTTGGGGCAAATCCATTACAACACATTACTGAGTACCACTCTCCATATTTCCAAGCATAGTGGTGGCTGCATGATGTTATGGGTATGTTTGTAATCGTTAAGGACTGGGGAGTTTTTCAGGATAAAAAATAAACTAAGAGCTAAGCACAGGCAAAATCCTAGAGGAAAACCTGGTTTAGTCTGCTTTCCACAGGACACTGGGAGATTAATTAACCTTTCAGCAGGACAATAACTGTAAACACAAGGCCAAATGTACACTGCAGTTGCTTACCAAGAAGACAGTGAATGTTCCTGAGTGGCGGAGTTATAGTTTTGACTTACACTACCGGTCAAAAGATTTAGAACACCTACTCATTCAAGGGTTTTTCTTTATTTTTACTATTTTGTACATTGTAGAATATTAGTGAAGAAATCAAAACTATGAAATAACACATATGGAATCATGTAGTAACCAAAAAAGTGTTAAACAAATAAAAAATATATTTTATTATTGAGATTCTTCAAATAGCCACCCTTTGCCTTGATGACAGCTTTGCACACTCTTGGCATTCTCTCAACCAGCTTCACCTGGAATGCTTTTCCAACAGTCTTGAAGGAGTCCACATATGCTGAGCACTTGTTGGCTGCTTTTCCTTCACTCTGCGGTCCGACTCATCCCAAACCATCTCAATTTGGTTGAGGTCGGGGGATTGTGGAGGCCAGGTCATCTGATGCAGCACTCCATCCCTCTCCTTCTTGGTAAAATAGCCCTTACACAGCCTGGAAGTGTGTTGGGTCATTGTCCTGTTGAAAAACAAAATGATAGTCCCACTAAGCCCAAACCAGATGGGATGGCGTATCGCTGCAGAATGCTGTGGTAGCCATGCTGGTTATGTGTGCATAGAATTCTAAATAAATCACAGACAGTGTCACCAGCAAAGCACCCCCACACCATAACACCTCCTCCTCCATGCTTTACGGTGGGAAATACACATGTGGAGATCATCCGTTTACCCACACCGCGTCTCACAAAGACACGGCGGTTGGAACCAAAAATGTCCAATTTTGACTCCAGACCAAAGGACACATTTCTACCGGTCTAATGTCCATTGCTCGTGTTTCTTGGCCCAAGAAAGTCTCTTCTTCTTATTGGTGTCCTTTAGTAGTGTTTTCTTTGCAGCAATTCGACCATGAAGGCCTGATTCACACAGTCACCTCTGAACAGTTTATTTGGGCTGCATTTTCTGAGGCTGGTAACTTTAATGAACTTATCTTCTGCAGCAGAGGTAACTCTGGGTCTTCCATTCCTGTGGCGGTCCTCATGAGAGCCAGTTTCATCATAGCGCTTGATGGTTTTTGCGACTGCACTTGAAGAAACTTTCAAAGTTCTTGAACATTTTCCGTATTGACTGACCTTGATGTCAGTTAACACCTGTTAATTGAAGTACATTCCAGGTGACTACCTCATGAAGCTGGTTGAGAGAATGCCAAGAGTGTGCAAAGCTGTCATCAAGGCAAAGGGTGGCTATTTCATTGTTTTGATGTCTTCACTATTATTCTACAATGTAGAAAATAGTAAAAATAAAGAAAAACCCTCGAATGAGTAGGTGTTCTAAAACTTTTGACCGGTAGTGTACATCTGCTTGAAAATCTATGGCAAGACTTGAAAATGGTTGTCTAGCAATGATCAGCAACCAATTTAACAGAGCTTGAAGAATTGTTTAAAGAATAATTGGCTAATATTGAACAATCCAGGTGTGCAAAGCTCTTAGAGACTTACCCAGAAAAACGTACAGCTGTAATCGCTACCAAAGGTGATTCTAACATGTATTGACTCAGGGGTGTGAATACCTACAGTGGGGGAAAAAAAGTATTTAGTCAGCCACCAATTGTGCAAGTTCTCCCACTGAAAAAGATGAGAGGCCTGTAATTTTCATCATAGGTACACGTCAACTATGACAGACAAAATGAGAAAAAAAAAACTTTTTTTTAATGAATTTATTTGCAAATTATGGTGGAAAATAAGTATTTGGTCAATAACAAACGTTTCTCAATACTTTGTTATATACCCTTTGTTGGCAATGACACAGGTCAAACGTTTTCTGTAAGTCTTCACAAGGTTTTCACACACTGTTGCTGGTATTTTGGCCCATTCCTCCATGCAGATCTCCTCTAGAGCAGTGATGTTTTGGGGCTGTCGCTGGGCAACACAGACTTTCAACTCCCTCCAAAGATTTTCTATGGGGTTGAAATCTGGAGACTGGCTAGGCCACTCCAGGACCTTGAAATGCTTCTTACGAAGCCACTCCTTTGTTGCCCAGGCGGTGTGTTTGGGATCATTGTCATGCTGAAAGACCCAGCCACGTTTCATCTTCAATGCCCTTGCTGATGGAAGGAGGTTTTCACTCAAAATCTCACGATACATGGCCCCATTCATTCTTTCCTTTACACGGATCAGTCGTCCTGGTCCCTTTGCAGAAAAACAGCCCCAAAGCATGATGTTTCCACCCCCATGCTTCACAGTAGGTATGGTGTTCTTTGGATGCAACTCAGCATTCTTTGTCCTCCAAACACAACGAGTTGAGTTTTTACCAAAAAGTTCTATTTTGGTTTCATCTGACCATATAACATTCTCCCAATCCTCTTCTGGATCATCCAAATGCACTCTAGCAAACTTCAGACGGGCCTGGACATGTACTGGCTTAAGCAGGGGGACACATCTGGCACTGCAGGATTTGAGTCCCTGGCGGCGTAGTGTGTTACTGATGGTAGGCTTTGTTACTTTGGTCCCAGCTCTCTGCAGGTCATTCACTAGGTCCCCCCGTGTGGTTCTGGGATTTTTGCTCACCGTTCTTGTGATCATTTTGACCCCACGGGGTGAAATCTTGCGTGGAGCCCCAGATCGAGGGAGATTATCAGTGGTCTTGTATGTCTTCCATTTCCTAATAATTGCTCCCACAGTTGATTTCTTCAAACCAAGCTGCTTACCTATTGCAGATTCAGTCTTCCCAGCCTGGTGCAGGTCTACAATTTTGTTTCTGGTGTCCTTTGACAGCTCTTTGGTCTTGGCCATAGTGGAGTTTGGAGTGTGACTGTTTGAGGTTGTGGACAGGTGTCTTTTATACTGATAACAAGTTCAAACATGTGCCATTAATACAGGTAACGAGTGGAGGACAGAGGAGCCTCTTAAAGAAGAAGTTACAGGTCTGTGAGAGCCAGAAATCTTGCTTGTTTGTAGGTGACCAAATACTTATTTTCCACCATAATTTGCAAATAAATTCATTAAAAATCCAACAATGTGATTTTCTGGATTTTCTTTTCTCAATTTGTCTGTCATAGTTGACGTGTACCTATGATGAAAATTACAGGCCTCTCTCATCTTTTTAAGTGGGAGAACGTGCACAATTGGTGGCTGACTAAATACTTTTTTTCCCCACTGTATGTAAATTAGATATTTCTCATTAATACATTTTGAATTCAGGTTGTAACACAACAAAATGTGGAATCAGTCAAGGGGTATGAATACTTTCTGAAGGCACTGTACATACTGTATATACATACCTAAATAATGCCAACATCCATCTGTCCATCCATCTATCCGTACACACATATTTGATATTTGAGAGTATTGATAGATTGACAGAGCAAGAACAAGGCAGCCTGTCATTCATGTTAAGAATCGGGGCAGCCGAGTGTTTACTGGCGGAAATCACGAGAGGAAAGGGTAGCTTGGCCTGGCTTCTCTCTGAGCATTCCTCGGGCGCTGGAAGGCCCCACTGTACAGCAGCACTTTTTCCCTGTGGTAAACCAGCGCTACTGGAACCTCAGGCCGTGTGGGCAGCAGTTGAGTTTGTATTTAAACAAACAATAATTTCTCTTTACCACTTCCATGGAAAGGGGAAAAAATAAGACCCGGTCTGTAATTCACAGGAAGAGATTTTGGAAAAGCTAAAGGGACCGGCGAAGAGGCTGTTAAAACATAGCATGGCTTGGAGGAAAGAGGATCTCTGAATGGGGAGAAAAAAAAGGAAAACAAACTGAAATACCATTGTCTCCCTAAATGTCAGCGTCAGGGTGATCCATTTTTCACACTATACCTCCAGTAAGTTGGCCTGTTCTTTACAGGACTGAGGTCCATTGTGCCTTCACACTTACTGTGAGACAACGAGTGCTCATGAAATTCCATTTGAGAGAGAGAGAGAGCGACCCCACAGAGCCCCAGGACAGCAACACAATTGGACCCAACCAAATCATGAGAAAACAAAAAGATAATTACTTGACAGATTGGAAAGAATTAACAAAAAAACTGAGCAAACTAGAATGCTATTTGGCCCTAAACAGAGAGTACACAGTGGCAGAATACCTGACCAAACTGACTGAACCAAAATTAAGGAAAGCTTTGACTATGTACAGACTCAGTGAGCATAGCCTTGCTATTGAGAGAGGCCGCCCTAGGCAGACCTGGCTCTCAAGAGAAGACAGGCTATGTGCACACTGCCCACAAAATGAGGTGGAAACTGAGTGCACTTCCTAACCTCCTGCCAAATGTATGACCATATTAGAGACACATATTTCCCTCAGATTACACAGACCCATAAAGAATTTGAAAACAAATCACATTTTGATAAACTCCCATATCTATTGGGTGAAATACCACAGTGTGCCATCACAGCAGTAAGATGTGTGACCTGTTGCCACAAGAAAAGCGCAACCAGTGAAGAACAAACACCATTGTAAATACAACCCATGTTTATGTTTATTTATTTTCCCTTTTGTCCTTTAACTATTTGCACATCGCTACAACACTGTATATAGACATAATATGACATTTGAAATGTCTCTATTCCTTTGGAACTTTTGTGAGTGTTTACTGTTAATTTTTTATTGTTTATTTCACTTTTGTTTATCTATTTCACTTGCTTTGGCAAAGTAATCATGTGTTTCCCATGCCAATAAAGCCATTGAGAGAGAGAGACTAGTGAAAGGATATGACTGGCAATGCCATGCAGGGTCACAAGAGACTAAGAACCTATTTTTATACCAACCTCAATTGCAGTGTGGTCGATGGCACAGAAAGGTAACTTTTACTGCAGTGGGCTAAATCAGGGTCACCCAGAGTGTTTCTTAAACAAATCTACTTTGAAACCAAAGTATGCACCTCACACACAGGGACCATGTCAGGTATACACTGAGTGTACAAAACATGTTCACAGCATGAATGTACCTCTGTCCAGTCTGCAGCAGCTGCGTGATGCCATCGCCTCAGCATGGAGCAACATCCCTTTTGGAACGTTTCCGACACCTTGTAGAATGCCCTGAAGAATTCAGGCTGGAGGAAAAGGGGGGTACGACCCGGTACTACTATAGATGGGTGTACCTAATAAACTGTCCGGTGAGTGTATGTAATACACTATATATAAAAAAAGTATGTGGACACCCCTTCAAATAAGTGGATTCGGCTATTTCAGCCATACCCATGAATAACATCGATCTCCATAGACAAACATTGGCAGTAGAATGGCCTTACTGAAGAGCCACCTTTCCAACAAGTCAGTTCGTCAAATGGCTGCTCTGCTAGAGCTGCCCCGGTCAACTGTAAGTGCTGTTATTGTGAAGTGGAAACGTCTAGGAGCAACAACAGCTCAGCCGCGAAGTGGTAGGCCACACAAGCTCATAGCATAGCGTGTAAAAATCATCTGTCCATGTTTGCAACACTCACTACCGAGTTCCAAACTGCCTCTGGAAGCAACGTCAGCACAATAACTGTTCATCGGGAGCTTCATGAAATGGGTTTCCATGGCCGAGCAGCCGTACACAAGCCTAAGATCACCATGTGCAATGCCAAGCGTCGGCTGGAGTGGTGTAAAGCTCGCCACCATTGGACTCTGGAGCAGTGGAAATGCGTTCTCTGGAGTAATGAATCACGCTTCACCATCTGGCAGTCCGACGGACGAATCTGGGTTTGGTGGATGCCAGGAGAACGCAACCTGCCCGAATGCATAGTGCCAACTGTAAAGTTTGGTGGAGGAGGAATAATGGTCTAGTTCCAGTGAAGGGAAATCTTAACGCTACAGCATACAATGACATTCTAGACGATTCTGTGCTTCCAACTGTGTGGCAATAGTTTGGGGAAGGCCCTTTCCTGTTTCAGCATGACAATGCCACCGTGCACAAAGCAAGGTACAGAAATGGTTTGTCGAGATCGGTGTGGAAGAACTTGACTGGCCTTCACAGAGCCCTGACCTCAATCACATCGAACACCTTTAGGAGGAATTGGAACGCCGACTGCGAGCCAGGCCTAATCGCCCAACATCAATGCCCGACATCACTAATGCTCTTGTGGCTGAATGGAAGCGAGTCCCCGCAGCAATGTTCCAACATCTAATGAAAAGCCTTCCCACAAGAGTGGAGGCTGTTATAGCAGCAAAGGGGGGACCAACTCCATATTAATGCCCATGATTTTGGAATGAGATGTTCGACGAGCAGGTGTCCACATACTTTTGGTCATGTAGTGTATGTATGTAATATTCTGTAACTATATATATATATATATATATATATATATATATATATATATATATATATATATATACACACACATTTATGATATATATATACACACAATCTCATTTGCTCAATGAGATTGCGCTTCAAGGATTTTGATGGATACATTGTCCTGTATTCATAAAGTCTTGTCAGACATTCTTCTGTGCCTCCTGACATAATACATGTGCATGCACACCACATAGCTCAGATGTCTAGTTCAGCTCACTCCTCACTCTACACACTATCCACTCCTCTGTCGTTTCTGGGAGGAGTTGCTGTCCCTCGTCTGCCTGCTAAGCTAGTTTCTAAAAGATGGACACAGCCTGCAACCAATTTGAAACACCTTTTAGCGATAGCTGCAGAATACAATAGATGCTATTCTGTGTCTGGGTTTTATACCTCTTGAGATTAATTGTTACCCGACGAAGTTGTGGCTAAGATACAATACTAAGTATCAGGCAACACAAGAAAAGAGTTAGAATGTGAACATGTTAACTGCAGTTATGAGGCAAAATATTTGCAGGGTTGCTAAGGAGAGGTCATAGCTTAGCTATGTCAAAGGGAGTCAAGTTGATGACTTGCAAATTTTGATAACCGTGCAAATAATTGGCTGAAAGCACAAAAGTAGTCTGACTCAGTTCATCACATTTATTTAGGTTGTTTTGCTTTTTAATACAAATACAATTGTGTTTTGTGGTGGTGCAGTTAGTTACAAATATAGGAAACAGATGGATAGTGCTGGTCATTCAATTACGAACACTATCACTCAAAAAACTTCTTCAGACTTTCACCTTTGAGCCGATCTGGGCATTGTTCCATCACTGATAAGTTTCACCACATTTATATTTGGAAAGAACCTTCTTTGCTGCCCTATCTACCATCCCATAATAGATGACAGCTTCTGCTACACCTGAACACTTCAAACATCTGAGGAAAAACTAAAGATACCCGACGACCAGATTCTCGATACCAGTTTAACGATTTCAGAGAATTCATGCCAGTCAAAAGTAACTATGGCCCTTTTAAGTGCTTTGTTCCCCAATGCCTTTAGTCAGGCCTCTCAGCTCCTTCCCAAAGCTTTATTCACTGCATTTCATTTGTCTCTGAAGGAGTGTTTGGCTGCCACTTACGAGGCCATGCCTACGGAGTGCCGTTAATTGGAGGAGTGTAGCACCGTCGACATTCACAAGCTGTTAATGGTTTCCATTCCACACTCATACCAACTGCCAAGACCAGGCAACAGTAACAGGATTCAAATAGCGAGCAAAAATCTCCACTGTTCTTTCTCATAGAAAAGCAATGCCATGATGTTTTGCCTTGCATGACCTCCCGATACCATTCTGTCATGCTCTTGATGTTCTTCTTGGTTGTTAGGATAATTATTGTCTTATTGATCGAACTGCATGACCAGTGCATTTGGATCAATATTCCTGTCACATTTGACTTTGTCCATTTGCCTAAGAGGCCGCCATTCACAGTAAATTTCCAGATGTTCAAATTCAATGTGAAGTTGTTCATACAAGGCACCAAAGATATCAAAGAGCACTAACCCACTCGGCATAAAATCATTTACATAAACAACATTTTCCGACCTCTGCCTCAGCCATGTTGCTAAACTCTGTAGCCTTCCTCTCTAATCGTATCATGCAGTGGCAGCACCAAAGGGAGTGCTGACTGTAATATCAGAATGTATTACATGGTATTATGTTGTCAGTAAATCAGAACAGACATTCCTGTATCGTTGCCATTCAGTGTGACAATGCCAATCCAATAGCAGGTGATTTTCGCTGATTCATTCCGTATCTCTTTACTCTGTCTGAGCTGAACTGTATTTTCCTCATCAAATCAAATCCCTGTTTCTCCTTTTATGACTCAGCTCAATATTTCTTTCTATTGACTGTTTGTCATGTAGGCATTAGACATTTCACATAGGATTATAAGTAACATATTACAAATGTGTATTGTCAAAGCTTTTGATACACTGTGACAATATAGGGAGTTTGATCCCATTAGGAGTTAATGTACCAAATAAAGTTACACTTTCAGTGCTGACGTGTCAATATTATCAGTGCTCAACTTGTCAATCACACAGTATTAGGTCGGTATCGCCACATAAAGCTACTAGCAAGCTGACTTTTCAGACAGAGTGAGCAGAGACTATGGCTATGACACCCTATTCCCTATATAGTGCATTACTTTTGAACAGAGCTCTATTGACCCTGGTCATGTGGTGATACCAATACCCCAGGTATCGATCTACTGCACCATTCCGGGTCTTAGGCAGATTTAAATAAAATACAATACTGCCCCTCATCGTAACAGAAAGGAGTCTCAGCTTAAACCTTGTTGCTACTGACTGAAGTTATTTCTGGATGGAAATCTATCTAAGTGAAGAGCTGTGGAATCTATGTAGACACCAAAATGAATGGAGCTTTGATGTTCGGTTTTCTAATGCACTGTAGCACAATCACTCATTATGTAAAGCTTATGTTACTTTTCAGGGGGTTTGCCTGTAATACCTGTATAATTCAGTTTAAACCTCTGATTCAATGCAGTTATTGTATCGGGCTCTCTAAAATAATCTATTCAATTATGCTTAATTCAGTTAAGACCATGAGGCTGAAGTCTAACAACTTTTTCCCCCGTCTTCCCTTGTGCCGGTTTTCTTTAGAGTGTATTGAAGCCCGAGGTAACTCCAGCTCCATCTCTGCAGAGCGCAGATGCATTGTCTGATGCCGTGGCTGGCCTCAGCACCGTGGAGGAGGTCATGAAGTACCTGGATCCCGATAGATGGCAGCGGGACATGGAAGACCTGTACAAGCCCTCTTGGCATATCCTGGGAAAGTCATTCCTCCACAACAAGAAATCCAGAGGTACGGCTAACAGCTGGGGTTGTAGTGACAGGAATTGCAGTGGAAGAAAAGTCTGTCATGTTGATATGGAGGGAAAAACAGATATACAGCTGCAGTTCAGCATAAAACTGTCTTGAAAAAGTTTAAAGTTCTACCATTTTTGAAAATGGCAATTTAACCTCAGCTTAGCAATTGATGCCCCTTCTTTGGAACTGAGTAAAATGTATTTAATAATGTTAGGCTGACGTGATGAGCTTAAACTATTTCTTGAACAGGGGTGGATCTCAACCTGTTGAGAGAAGAGGTGAGACTGTACAGCTGCACGCCGCGCAACTTCTCCGTCTCCCTGAGGGAGGAGCTCAAGAGGACGGACGCCATCTTCTGGCCTAGCTGCCTCCTGGTGAAGCGCTGCGGGGGTAACTGTGCCTGCTGCTCGCACCGCTGCTTCGACTGCCAGTGTGTGCCCACCCGGGTCGTCAACAAGTACCATGAGGTAAAAGTTTGGCATGGGTAGCGTTACAAAGTTCAGAGGTTTGAATATTCCTGGAATCAGGAGGGAATACACTGGGAATCCAGGAATCTTCCAACCAGGATTTCTGGAGAACCTGGAATTGTTGGGAAGTTTGCATTTCTAGACAAGGGTCCTTAAAAGTACCTACCTGGTAACATTTATGTGCTACTTATCCAAAAAGTTAATTATTTTTTAGAAAGATCAGCATAATAAACCCAAGCTAAATTCCATCCTGTTATTTTGTGTTTGAAATATGTCATTGATGTATAACAAATGTAGCCTATCACGGAGACATTTCTGCTATGTAGCTAATTGAAGCATTTGATGTGTAAATGTGTTTGATGTTGTTTTTGGTGGAGGGCAACTCTCAATCTGCTCTCTGGTTCGCCGCCCTCTGTAGGTTCTCCTGCTGAAGCACCGAAGCGGGGGCCGAGGCCTGCAGAAGTCCATGACCGACGTGCCCCTGGAACACCACGAGGAGTGTGCCTGTGTGTGCAAAGACGACTGGGACTGATCTCAAACCTGTGTACTGGAGCCACCGGCATCCCAGGAGACACTTGAAACTGCACGCGTCTTCCAGCGTCTCCCAGCCAATCCCCGTTGTCCTCTCGTTAACTGACTGGAACTACTTCATTTGTGGATGGATCTGGCCGCTGTGGAGGACCTGAGTGCATTGAACAGACAGGAGATGGATAGACTGCACTGGAATGATGGACCAATCTTAATCATTCTTTAATCTCTGAAGGCTCTCTCTCCCTTTTTTTTGTGCGAAATCCTTTAAGGGGTCTTGTTAAAATTCAACACGTGGCCAGAGAGTATCTGAGGAATTGGGCTCCTCTTCATTCAAGTACTTTTCTGTATATAAGTGAGCTGCCTTCAGGCCAATCCCTCTGCTACTTTATAATCCCATAAAGGATCACTGTTTATCAGTGATTCCTGACTTCTTTTCCCAGTTTTCCCACCGATTAGATCTCTGGCTTGAAATAGTGGTAATAATGTTGAACTGTCATACTGGTGCAAACTGTATTATGTGTAAATATTTCATTTTCATGGTTCTTCTGTACTGTCATATTTTTCTACCAAAGATACTGTATTCAATGAGGAGATAGTTGCACACTTAGACCAAGTGGGTATTGTTTTGATGCATTTCAACGTACATACCGTCTCAGCAAAGGTGTAAAAATCTGCTTGCTTTAGAACTTCATATAACCCCAATTAGTGCGTGGAAGAGTAGATTCGTGGATATTAGATATTTATTTGTTCAAAGGGAATTTAATGCCCAATATGCTTTTTTGTATGCTGAAATTGTAGTTTCTTATTCATTTGTACAGTAGTTGAGTGTTCTTCTTCAATATTATTCATTTCTACAGTACCAGTCAAAAGTTTGGACACACCTACTCATTCAAGGGTTTTTCTTTATTTTTGCTATTATTTTACATTGTAAAATAATAGTGAAGACATCAAAACTATGAAATAACACAAATGGAATCATGTAGTAACCAAAAAAGTGTTAAACAAATAAAAATATATTTTATATTTGAGATTCTTCAAATAGCCACCCTTTGCCTTGATGACAGCTTTGCACACTCTTGGCATTCTCTCAACCAGCTTCACCTGGAATGCTTTTCCAACAGTCTTGAAGGAGTTCCCACATATGCTGAGCACTTGTTGGCTGCTTTTTCTTCACTCTGCCATCCGACTCATCCCAAACCATCTCAATTGGGTAGAGGTCGGGGGATTGTGGAGGCCAGGTCATCGGATGCAGGCCATCACTCTCCTTCTTGGTAAAATAGCCCTTACACAGCCTGGAAGTGTGTTGGGTCATTGTCCTGTTGAAAAACAAATAATAGTCCCACTAAGCCCAAACCAGATGGGATGACGTATCGCTGCAGAATGCTGTGGTAGCCATGCTGGTTAAGTGTGCCTTGAATTCTAAATAAATCACAGACAGTGTCACCAGCAAAGCACCCCCACACCATAACACCTCCTCCACCATGCTTTACGGTGGGAACTACACATGCGGAGATCATACGTTCACCCACACCGTGTCTCACAAAGCCATGGCGGTTGGAACCAAAAATCTTCAATTTGGACTCCAGACCAAAGGACACATTTCCACCGGTCTATTGTCCATTGCTCGTGTTTCTTGGGCCAAGCAGGTCTCTTCTTCTTATTGGTGTCCTTTAGTAGTGGTTTCTTTGCAGCAATTCGACCATGAAGGCCTGATTCACACAGTCTCCTCTGAACAGTTGATGTTGAGATGTGTCTGTTACTTGAACTCTGTGATGCATTTATTTGGGCTGCAATTTCTGAGGCTGGTAACTCCAATGAACTTATCCTCTGCAGCAGAGGCAACGCTGGGTCTTCCATTCCTGTGGCGGTCTTCATGGGAGCCAGTTTCATCATAGTGCTTGATGGTTTTTGCGACTGCACTTGAAGAAAAAGTTCTTGAAATGTTCCGTATTGACTGACCTTCATGTCAGTTTGCTTATTTGAGCTGTTCTTGCCATAATATGGACTTGGTCATTTACCAAATAGGGCTATCTTCTGTATACCCCCCCCCCCCCCCCCCCCCCCACCACCACAACTGATTGGCTCAAATGCATTAAGAAGGAAATAAATTCCACAAATTAACTTTTAAGAAGGCATACCTGTTAATTGAAATGCATTCCAAGTGACTACCTCATGAAGCTGGTTGAGAGAATTTACCAAGAGTGTGCAAAGCTGTCATCGAGGCAAAGGGTGGCTGTTTGAAGAATCTCAAATATATAAAATATCTTTTGATTTGTTTAACACTTTTTTCGTTACTACATGATTCCATATGTGTTATTTCATAGTTTTGATGTCTTCACTATTATTCTACAATGTAGAAAATAGTAAAAAGAAAAGAAAAACCCTTGAATGAGTAGGTGTGTCCAAACTTTTGACTGGTAGTGTATGTCTGTGCCAGGTCAAATATGGGTGTGTTCTCTTCTCTACCAAAGTATTTAACATGACCTTTTAGGATGTATGTTGTTGTATCTGACAGTAGAAATAAATCAGTCAATGTATTACTGGAGATAGGTACTTGTATTTTGACGTAGCCCCCTGCAATATAAGGACTTTCATTTGGTCTCACAAGATAAAGCTTCTGTTTTTCTTTGTTATTGGAATGGTCTGATTGGTATCATTAGGGAATATTGACTGAGGAAATTACATTTGGTGGCAGATGGCTACACATCAAAGTCGTCTAACACAATAAGATGATGGTCATAGGCATGTACTGTATATACCTTTCACACTTCATGGACAAAGTATCATAGGAGGTAAAACAGTGAAATGACTTTCGTGACCAAGGGCTCAATTCGATCCGTATTGTGGAAGTTCAGCGTTACAGCATAATTTAAATGTAACTGCAATATTCCCGCGTTAGCCAAGACTGCATTCACAGTAGGCTAAATCAGAAATTGTTGGCTCAATCAGAAATTACCTTTCCATTTCTATCGTGCAATCTGTAACGCTTCAGCGATACAGACTGAATAGAGCCCTATGCATTCATCAACAGTCGGTTCTGTCAATGTGAAAAACACACCACTGTCAGATATCTGTGTAAATAGCTGTTTTATGCACCAGTCATCTAGGAACCCTACTCATGTCCCTCAATTAATGAGGTTGGAAAATAAACAAAACAATTTCATTCAGTTGTTGTTTAATCAAGGGATGGCTAAGGTAATGGCTGATTGGATCCATTGTGTGTATTTTATTGCCGCTCTATAACAAAACAATTAAGATAACCTCTCTCTGCATTCATTAAATAAATAGGAAAGTCAAGACCATTAAAGAGTGACTGCCCCTAAAAAGCAACTTCTCATTTTGAAAACAGCCTATGTGGCATCGATATCAGTCAGAAACATTATTCTAGTGTCAAAATTGATTAAAGTGTAAATATAATAATATTTTTGGTCATAAAGTCAGTTTCATCCAAAACTGAGATTTGTGAGATGATAAGGGAAAAAAATATCGTAAGTTTTCCTTGGGTTGGGTTTATTTCAATCCTGCACACATGCCCACAGCTAGCAGCACCCAAATAATCATACATTTGGAGCACAGCTGTACGCAACCCCATCGTAATGCCCATGTTCAATTTGGTTTGACATTCGATATCCCTATGGGGCTAGTTAGGGACCATCAGTAAATTACACAATGTACATGGGACAATATTTTAAAATGTCAATAGCTCCACATTTCAATGACTTAAAAACCTCAAACCAACTATAAATTGGAGAAATGTATATACAAATATTGAAAGCATTTAATGAAAATATTGTCCCATTTACATTATGTAATTTATTGACGGTCCCTAACTAGCTCCAGCGATAGGCTATCCAATGTCAAACCAACTTTGCCACAGTCGCACACCAGATGGCTAAAGCTAATTGGTGAAAGAAGTTGGCTAGCACTAGCTAGTCTGGGCGACATCAAGACACAGGACCTGGTTAGACTGTTTCACGTTATCTAGAAGGGTGAGTGACTGTAACTGTGTACTGTTTTGGCAAAGTGAATGTGCAAACACTTGCCATGTGCGAACACACAAACAAGAGACACCCACATTAAACCCACCCCCCTCTCATTTGGCTTCAGTCATGGCTGCTGCATTTCTTAATAAGATCATTCAGTTGGTTTTTTGTTGACAAAGAGACACATTTCACTGAGCCGCCCTCAACTAAATGAAAACATCACATGCATGAGTGAAGAAATTCATTAAAATGTATAACTTTGAGCAAAGCACTACACAGACACCATCATAATCTAGATAAGTGAAAAGTGATTGCACAACTTTCTTGATGAAAGAGTTTAATGTAAATCAGACTTAATTGGAAATATAACTACCCAGCAGGCATGACCCAATTGGCCCCATGTGGGTATTCGGTGGGCAAGGTGGGCACGGTCAAGCCCCCACCCCAAAATACATTGCTGTGAAAAAGTATTTTCCCCTTTCAAATGTTCTCTACTTTTGCATATTTCTGATACTGAATGTTATCAGATCTTCAACCAAAACCTAATATTAGATAAAGGGAACCTGAGTGAACAAATAACACAACAATTACATACTTATTTCATTTATTTCATAAACAAAGTTATGCAACACCCAATGCCCCTGTGTGAAAAAGTAGTTGCCCCATTACACTCAATAACTGGTTGTGCCACCTTTAGTTGCAATGACTGCAACCAAACGCTTCTTGTAGTTGTTGATCAGTCTCTCACATCGCTATGGAGGAATTTTGGCCCACTCTTCCATGCAGAACTGCTTTAACTCAGCCACATTTGTGGGTTTTCAAGCATTAACTGCTTGTTTTAAGTCCTGCCAAAACATCTAAATTGGGATTAGGTCTGGACTTTGACTAGGCCATTCCAAAACGTCACATTTGTTGCTTTTTAGCCATTTTCATGTAGACTTGATTGTGTGTTTTGGATCATTGTCTTGCTGCATGACCCAGCTGCGCTTCAGCTTCAGCTCACAGTCGGATAGCCTGA